CGGGGCGGGGCGTGCCCAGGTGCGGTGCGGTGGTTTTTATTTTGCCCCAGAGGAGCCGCCTGTCGGCCGGCAGCGCGCTCCAGCACTCCCCGCATATCTGAACGCAGAGGGGACGCCGGACGCCGGCCAGAGCGGTGCGTCTCGACTCGATATTCGATTGTTTTCCGAGAGCGATTGCGAAGGGTCTGCCTGCCTCCTGCTGGTCCTGTTGAGGCTGCTACCACTGCTGCAGGAATGTGGACGCGATCGTGATGGACAGGTGGCCGGGTTTGCAGCGCGGGACGCCCTCGAGAACGCCGTCAAGTGCGAGACGTGTGGCTTGTGAGGAAGTGGGTTTCACATTCGCACATCCAGGTTAATACTCAAAGCGTGTATACCGGTGTACACTTTCGTGGCCGCGTGGCTGTACGCGGTCGATTTGGTGGGTTTGAATGTGGGCGGGTTGCCTGCCTTGGCGCGGTAGGCGCAGTAGGCGCCGTGGGCGTAGGCAACCTGCACAGTCGACTCGGCCCCTGCGGCCGCTCGGGACGGGCCTCCGTCTCCACGCGGGTGCCCGGCGGGCTGGCCTACCCTGCGCGTGGCAGGCGCTATACCAGTGCCGTTGCCGTGGACTCCTTGACATATGTGATTGTGTTTTACTGAATGCATCGTCTCACTCTCTCTCTCTCTCTCTCTCTCTCTCTCTCTCTCTCTCTCTCTCTCTCTCTCTGTTGTAGGAATTTTAAAGTCCGAAAGTTTCCTGGAAAAAAATTCCTAGAAAAAATCTGGGAAAAATGAAACATTTCCTGAAAAAAATGAAAATTAATTTTCTGTCAACTTAAAATGACTTCTCTGTTGCAGACATCACCTTCGAGTGCCTGGGCCACTGGACGGGGTCGGACAACCAGCGCTACCTCGCGCTGCTCGACACGCGGGTGGACGCGGTGCGGCGGGCCCAGTACCGGTGCGCGGTAAGTGTCCCCGAGGAGGCCGAGGAGGCTGAGGAGGGAGGCCGAGGAGGCTAAGGGAGGGGGCCGAGACAGGAGACCGAGAATGCCAAGTGAGGAGGCCGAGAAGGCCGTTCATCACACTGTCGCCGCCTCGGCCGCCGCGCCGGCGCTTCAAAGGGCGCAAATGAACGCCGATAAGCTCCGGGGTGGCGAGGAGGGCCGGCTGCGTATCGGCGGCCATCGGGATCCTGGTTGGGGCCGGCGCGGGGCGCCGCCGCTGCAGCCGAAAAGGAAAGAGGATAAAACGGAGCGCGACCGTCCGCTATCTCCTCCGCATCCGATATGCGATCAGCAGCAGCAGCAGCAGCGGGCCCCGGGGCGCGGCTGCCTCCTCAGCGCGGACCTGGACCAACTCGTTATACGCACGCACGGCGACGGCGGAGCGCGCTTTTCATTTCGAACGCACCCCAAACTGTTTGCGATTGCGATGCCGATCTGATCGGACTCGAACTCGCACCGCGGCGAGGCGGCAATACCCTGGCCGCGCGGGGCCGCGCCGGGCCGGGCAGGGCCCCTGCGCGCCGATGCAGCGCCGATACGCCGCGAGAGCTTTGGTTCCTGAGAAACGATCTGCGCGTCCCGGCCCGCGGCGGGGTGAGGCGGGGCGGGCCGGGGACGAACGCACGGGAATGTGACCGCATGTGACCGCGCTCGTTCCGCGCGCCGCGCGACGGCAAACAGTGCCGCTCACGCCTATTAGAAGGGCGCCCGGGCCGGCGGCATGAGCACTGCGCAGTAAGTATGCTGCTGCTCCTCCTGCTCTTCCTGCTCCTGCTCCTGCTGCTCCCGCTGCTCCTGTTGCTCCTGCTCCTGCTCCTGCTCCTGCTGCTCCTGCTCCTGCTCCTCCTGCTCCTCCTGCTCCTGCTCCTGCTGCTCCTGCTCCTCCTGCTCCTGCTCCTCCTGCCCCTGCTCCTGCTCCTCCTGCTCCTGCTCCTGCTGCTCCTGCTCCT